TGGAACCCATGTTGAGCGCTTGAAATGATACCATGAGAACTTAGATACTCATAATTCGCTTCTTCGATGTTTTTTTTTCAAACAATCTAGCAAAAATAGATGTAATACTAGTGGGCCGGTAATTGCGAGCACAAATGTGGGCTTTATTTTAGGTATGGGAGTTACGTAGGATACCTTCTATCTGTCTGGAACTTTGGACTTCGACGGGGAAAACTCAAATTTAAGTTAAATATGGACTGCAGGGGCTTGGCTATTACATGGGCAACTTTTTTGATGAACTGAAGAGGTATATGATTAGGCGTAGAGATGTTGATGTTGGCCATCTACGCAGAAGCCCAAAAATCTCTCCAGCATCAAAAATATGGGTTCCATATTCTCAAACCGTACTGCAACATTATCCGGGGCGGTTGCTTCAACGCTTCCAAAGACTTTTTCGAAGATATCGGCGAAATATTCTGATTTTTCAGGGTCTGCGCTTACAAGAGCTTCATCATCAACCAAAATGAGCCTCAGCTTTTTTCTTTCTCCAAGCCTTGAGTTGAGAAAAGATAAAAGGCTGATTTCTTTCTACTATTGATGACTTTCTTCTCCAGGTAGATAAATATTATTTTCTCAAATGCTTCAGGTACCTAAAAAATACATTTTTAAATGAACAAAAGTATTAGGTTGTCCCGAAAGTTCTGTCGTTTTATCTTTGAAAGTTTGTAACTTTGCGCTATCTCAACGGATTTGCATCCTTTTAATTTTATTAGAAACCGTATGTCTCTCGCTTTCGAATACATTCCCTCCTAGCTTCTGACACACACTGACTGCAGAGACAAAAATGGAAAAAGAAGACCATATGAAGTTTTAACATTTTGAGTTAGGTCGCCAAAAGTCTGAAACGCTGCGGAAAAATTTGAAAACGTAAGTGCACAGGTTTTTTGAAGTATTTGCAACAATGAAAAGTTTGTGCTGTTTGGACATCTCTGTGAAAAGCTACGAACTTCGACTTTACTGCGGAAGATGCCAAGACTGATTAATTTGTCACTTTTCTCAAAAATCATAACTTTTCACAGACACATTCAAACAGCGCAAACTTGATTCGGCCTATCAAGTGGCACAGATTTTAACGGCACGAAAAGTTCTATCGTGTGTTGAAGCATCACAATCAACAACTCATACATGTCGTTGACTGGCCCTGCGGCATTGAATGAGCCTTATCAGTCTATTACTCCTAGACAGTCAATAGCCTTGGCAGTGTCGGCGTTTTTGAAGTCCCTTTGCCAAGTAAATTTGGTCTCAGCGCTGTGCTTGCCCCTTAAGAGAAAACTTACTAAGGCATAATCACTAGAGCCGGGCAGTTTAACTCTGACATCCATTATCAATGCTTCAACTTAATCTAAATAAGATCAAGAGTAGTTATTACTAGGGTACTTACCGTAACTTTTTGAACTAGCTAATGATTACGGCACATAGTCGCAAACCTCTTGGCTGCAGGACACATCTTGCCCAACTGCGTTAAAGTCTCCCATTATGACTGCAGGGTAAATGCAAGTCATTAGCGTCGGGTGATCTGATATTTGTCAAAAGGCACCAAATAGAACTATCTATCCGAGGAATAGCTAGTTATTTTTTTAAAAGGAATCAGCAAACTGAGACTGCGAATTATACAAGGAAACATCAACAACATCGTTCAGCTGAGTGCCAGGATTGAACGATACATAGCACGATCACTACTAGAAGGGCATCTAACACGTGGTCTACTTTAAGTTTCTCCCTGTCCTCTTTGGACAAGAACCTCTTACAAAAATAAAAAATACCTTAGCTTAGATGCACGCCTAAGTGTGAGTTTGACGAAAAAGGATAACAGCAAAAGACTTTCAATGATCTGTCATGACGACTACTTGGCCTACCCATAAGATAGACAACTACGGGTAACAATCAATCGATAAAAAATCTTATAAGTGACAAATGCACGTAAAATCATGATTGATCCTTTGATTGCTGCTGCCTTGGGCCTCTGGGACTCCGATGAAGACTAGAGATCGTTTCTGCTCAATTTCTTCGTAAGTGGGACTCTGTGGCGGGTGTGACATAATAGAAGTAGGGCTAGAAATACAAAACGTTTTCTTCAATTCAGCTTTCTCGCTCGTAAGCGCAACTTCTTTTCGCAAAATTTTCATCTCGCCAATTAACTCGCGGTTACATAGTAGAATGTCTTCCATGTCCTTTTGTCGATTGGAATGTGCCATGATTGTGCGGGCATATAATGGCAGCGAGTCGTCCTTTGCCAATTCATTCGCTGCTTGAAGAAGATCCGGTGAAGTGTGCGGCGACTCGCACTCCAATCTTCGTTTCTTCAAACGGTCGACCAGGGCTAGGGGTTAGCTGGGGGTCCCCATCTTCGCAGTAAGTACAGCAGTAGGAAGAAATACAGCGACGTAGAGAAAATCAATCGATGGTGCGCATCGAGGGCGGCGGGTCAAGAAGGATCGAAGGAATCGACCGCTCATTGTGACCACGGGTAGAGGAATGAGCGGGTAGGGGAATGGAAAATCGCATGTAATGTGTGCAAGCTGATATTTTCTCGAAAAGAGAAAGTGCAGTTCGTATTTTTGCATTCTTACGAAGTATACAATTGTCCACATAGAGCTTCGTTCTCATCTCCTATAACTGCTCAGTGTACAATTTCGAACTTAAACTGAAGTAGGCCGGCCGCGGCAGAGCACCGCAGACATCTCCCTCATTTCAAGTTGACACAGTTTCCCCCTTCTTTTCTTGTTTTTAGACGCTACTTCTTGTGTTGTGACAATGTAAGTGGTCAAAACCGACGACTTTGATGTTGAGCGGTGTTTTGTGCCTCTACGCTCGTTTGTTCAATTTTTGAGTAGAGATAAGTTTAATGCAGCATCCTAAGCCGCCTCGGCCCAAGCTCAATATGTTTTTCATGTTTTTTTTTGGTTTTTACCCGCTATTTCTGGACACGCGCAATGCTTATGTTTAATGTTGACGACTGTTGTTGTTGTTGAGCAATTACCTATACGGGCAACCGCCAAATGGCGCGTATTGATCAATTGTCACTAGTCAGAAAAACCAGGAAAAAAGCTTGAAATTGGTTTATTACATTCGCGATTTAACTAATAATTCTCTGTTATCTGGTATGATGGCAAAACTTTAGGAGTTTGGAAACCTCGCTTTTTGGAGTGCAAATCTTTTATAGCAATGACGACGCCAAAACGCGCTCTTTTCGACATATAACTATACTGTTCTTGATTCTTCGACTCTGTTCAAAAAAAAAGGCTGGAGAAATGATGAATGGGTGGCATGTGTATTCTAAAGCAACAATCCAGCACATGTTAATCATCAAAAAGAAATGGATATGTAAGTGAAAAATTCTAATCTTTGTGGTATTTCCAAGCTTGCCTAAACTCAGAGTTGAATAAACGAGTATAGAATTGCGAAACAACACTTAAGACCCTAGCTCTCAATTCTGTTTACGTACATTGTTTAAACACAAGAAGTAGGATCTAAAACAAGCAAAACAGAAAAAAACATATGCTAGTTTGGAATGAAAGCGGTGTCTGCCGATCGATCCGCTCCATCTCGAATCAAAATTCATTTACTGAGCGAATGGTGATTGAGGACGACTGTAGTTACTTATAAGGGAGGTCCGATTAGTCGAAGTGGAATCCAAACGAGTCTTATAACTTTGGAAAGCATCAAACGCTGATTTCAAATCTGTTTTCGTTATCTGTCAGTGACCCTGCATGCCGAGTTATGAATATTTACTTGGTGAGAAATATGGACGCATAATCTAGGTAAAGTCTTTTACGGTACTTTCAATGCTCAAATAGAGCAGTGTTGAGTATGAGTGTTTTGGACAGAAGGTATTGCTCAAATGGAGTGATCTGTAGTTAACATTGGACCATTTAAGCAATTTTGAGGAATTCTGTGCTAATTATGCATTTAATTTTTCAACCAAAGAAATGCTCATAACTCGACCTCAAAGGGGCTCGGCAGATAGCGAAGACAAATTTGGAATCAGCCTTGGATGTTCTTTATATTCGCATCAATTTCATGTGAAAACTCCACTTCGACCAAGCGGACCTCCCTTGTTAGACAGCTGCCTTTCGCTCGCTTTAACTGTTCACTTGCAGTAAGCGCCTTGAGTTCGCTGAAGTTAACATGTTAAGAGGCAGCGAAGTCTTTGCAATCAGTGGTACGGAGAGGAACTTCTCTGGGACACAGACGATACATGACTTCTTATACAATGCATGCACACGCGACCATATGCTAACCGGTAAAGTGTGTGACATAGTTGCGGCGAGTAATGCGCCAAACGCGCGCCATGTAGACATGAAATCACCTGCGACACGCGCATCTTTTCGAATGTGAATACGCGGCGCGCCTACTTTTCGGCTTTTATGCGGCAGCGCCATCGCATTTCAGCTTTTAGCGCGGCAGTTCGCGTGCCTAGAAACACATGCCTTTTCTTGGAAAAGTTTCTGTGCATTGTTTACTTTTGGAGTATTGCTGATGTTTTCCACACATGCTTGCGTTTATTTGCTACTAGAATTTCATTCAATTCATTTTCTTTGATTTGGTACATTTTGTTTTTAGTAATAATTATCGTTTGCTCGCTCGTCCTAAAGCACCGCCGATGTACAGCGTGGCGGTTTTTGATAGCGAGCGAGTGCAAAACACAACACTGTGGACTGGGAGTTTGTCAATAAATCATTTGACTGCAGCGGCCCGCCTTCCTTATAGCAAACGAGTCCCTATAAATTGTTTGTTGTTATTAAGCACAACCTTTCTTCCTTACTAATCTGATGAGTTCCGAGAAGGCTTTCTTTGCATAGTGCCCGTCTAAGGGTATGATCGAGTCAAACAAATTCCTTCTTGGCATACAATTGTTTTCAAATGAGCATACAAATCTACAGCGCTATCATTTATCACATCGAAAGTGTCTACGCCTTTAGCAATATAGGTCGAGGTTTGTTAGAAGTTATCTTTTAGCTTGAGGCGTATTGCACCAGAAATGTGAAAATGGACCAGGTAAATCAAGAACTCCTGTATAGCAATTTACTACACTTGTTAGTGGTTTGTCTAGGTGAGCTTAAAGTGGACAGGTGAATATTTAAGAGTTAGTTTCCAATACATAGCATGCCACTGGGGGCTTTCTAAAGTAAGTAAAGCCGTTTAGGTAACGCAAACAGTTTTAGATGACTTAGAAACTTCAAGGAGGCCTGTCTTGACTTCCTGCACGTGAGAGATTGCGATGACTGAAAGAAGAGCAAGCCGTTTAACATCAGGAAAAAGCAGAAGGCATACTTTTTAGTAACAAAATGGCTTCTGTGCTTCATAACGTCACAACTACATATCATCCGGATAGCTTCAGTAACGCTAGCCCAATGCAGGAATATTTGAATGAGTGGATGAAGGAGAACAAGAGGCTGCCGAGAGATATGTGTAAGTATTTCAATCAGCTTTGCTTTCGAAATGATGGTCACAGTTTAAGATTTGTCGGTCAAGCCACTCAATACTGTATACTGTTTTATACAGTGCATGTGCAGCACTTTGGGATGCCCGAGGTACAAAATTGAAATGAAAACTGGTGGAAGTTTTTTGTGGAAGGAGCAGACCTATTTCGGTGTGCTTCATATTTTAACCGCAACATGCTACTTCTCATATGGCACAACGGTAATGTCGTTTCGTTCAACAGAAAAGCTCTGGCAAATCAAAAGTTACGAAGTTAAGTTAAAGTTACGTTCGCGCGCACGTTTTGGCGCTAAGAGAACGATAGGTTGTCGGCAACGGTTGCCGAGCTTGCTGAGGTTGCCGGCGTTGCCGGTCGTTGTAGGACCTCATGATAGCTCCACGTTTCGCGCGCTCTCTAAGCTGTCGCTGACCCCGACAACCCCAGCAACCTCGGCAACCTCGTCAACCGTTGCCGGCAACCTACGGCAGTTCCCTAAGGCGTTTATGATGATTTCGCAACCTTTTAGCTTCATTTTCTATCGTCTGCACATCAAAATAATGCCAGAATTCTAATAAAAGTTCGTTTCTGCATTCCGGCTCTTTTTGGGTTTTTCGGGCTTTTTTGGCCTTTTGGGCTTTCCTTGGCGGAATATGACGGATCCCTAAGAATTCGGATGAAACTATAAATTGTCAAATGTCAAAACCACGTTGGAAATTTCATATGCAAATTTTAGTGGAATTGCTTGTGGCTAATAGCCATGCAGCAATCTTGCCTCTGCTTTGTCAACTGATGACCCATTAACGGCAGCAATACGATTATGTTATGGTCAAAATATTAATCTCAGAATATGACATGTTTTCTTACTCGTAAAGAATTTGTTACAGATATATAAGCGTTAGAATATAAAATTTTGAGCATTTTTCATTAAAATGTTCTGTACTATACATTTCTTATCATACAATACCTCTCACAAAATGTGCAAAATTTCCGTGATTGTCGCAGAATTCCAGTAATTCCGAGGGAGTCCGCGACATTCCGGAAATTTCGCGAAGTCAACGCTTCGCGTTGAATTCCTTCGGAATGAGGTTCTTTCGCAATGACGTAGCTCCTGGCCACTATAAAAAGTAACAGTAAGTACCTTTCGGTAGTACTGTTCTAGTTGATTACAGTGTACTAGAAAGTAGCCGCAGACTTCGTTTCAAAAGAGATAGAAGCGTTGGTGAATTCTGCAGAAATCACGCGTTTCAAATTCTACTCGCCGTAACTTTCTTCAGAATAAATATATTCCAAATCAGAGAAAAGCGTTGTACTCAGCTCATCAGGGCGAATCCTTTAAATACATCATGTCTTAAATATTCCGATTTCAGTAATCTTGAATCTTTCTGCGGACGTCTTCGCAAAGGTGTAAAGCAGCGTGCATTGCCCTACTTTGGCAAAAATATGGTACTTCTTCTGTAGATTATGGAGCGAACCTAAAATACGAAGCTTTCTCGCTAAGCAGGTGTGATTTTCATAACCAGCAGGTCAGATAACTCTATGAGCCAAGTTTCTCAAGACGGGCTTTTTAATTTTTTTCTCGTTTCACGCTCTGAAGCTCGCCAGTGGGTTTTGGTCAAAATGTTGATGATCTTGGACTGTAAGGAAACTTTGCTTATAGGGACTTTCGGGTGTTTACGAAAATCGTGGTTTTTCGGGAATACAGGATCTTTTTGCAGAGATAAGGTTAGGTAACTGTAACTGAGGCACGAAAGTTCGTAAATTCGCCTGCACTTTTCGCGTATCTGTCAGGAAACTTGCCTGCTTGCTTTCGTAGGCTAAAGTTACTAGAAACTACGCTATCGAATGGTGCATGTCCCAGGTTTCAGTGTATATAAATCGCCGAGTTAGAGCCTACGAAAACACATCGTCATGAATTTTGCACAGAATGTAAAGATCGCATACTTTATCTTAACCTTTATTGATACGTGCAAGAACACGTAAGTAAATGAAAGAACAAGAAGCTACCTGTAAGGCAAGAGACCGACGGATGGGGGTAGAAAATTGCGAAAAGAAGAAAAACAGTAAGAACAAAAACAACAGGAAAACAACCGAACAAATAGGAACATAAAATGTTGATCAACTGCAAAATATCAATGACTAGCTGGCTTACCCGGCTCCGCCGTATCCGGACCAAACTTGGCACACATACACTTCGGGCCCCGGCGGGTGTCACAGTCCACTTTTCGTTATCGATCGATGTCGATTTTACCGATTTTTATCGATTTTTTGCAGAGTTCACCTACAGGGCTAGGAGTTGGCACAGGGGGGGGAAGTGAGCATGGGGATTCCGAATACAATATTAGTTTTCAGAATTATCGATTACTTTTATTGATTTTATCGATTTTTTGTAAATTTTGACATGCGAGGCTGGGATTTTGCACAGGGGGGTAATCGAGCATGCTGATTACGAACACAATATTAGTTTTCAGGATCGTCCATTACTTTTATCGATTTTATCGATTTTTTTGTAAAGTTTGACCTGCGGGGCTGGGAGTTTGCACAGGGGGTAATCGAGCATGCAGATTACGAATACAATATTAGTTTTCAAGATCGTCCATTACTTTTATCGATTTTATCGATTTTTTGAAAATTTGAGCTAGGGGGCTGGAATTTGGCACAGGGGTGTAATCGAGCATGCTGATCACCCCCCTTGGGGATGATCAGCATGCTCGATTACCCCCCTGTGCCAACTCCCAGCCCCCTAGCTCAAACTTTGCAAAAAAATCGATAAAATCGATAAAAGTAATCGATAATCCTGAAAACCAATATTGTATTCGGAATCCCCATGCCCGATTACCCCCCTGTGCCAACTCCCAGCCCCGTAGCTCAAACTTTGCAAAAAAATCGATAAAATCGATAAAAGTAATCGATAATCCTGAAAACCAATATTGTATTCGGAATCCCCATGCTCGATTACCCCCCTGTGCCAACTCCCAGCCCCGTAGGTGAACTCAGCAAAAAAATCGATAAAAATCGATAAAATCGATATCGATCGATGACGAAAAGTAGCCTATGACACCCGCCGGGGCCCGTAGTGTATGTGTGCCAAGTTTGGTCCGGATCGGTTCAGAAATGGAATTTTCTATTCGGAACATACGTACACACAGACAGACAGACAGACAGACAGACAGACAGACATACAGACAAACAGACATTCAGCTTTATATATAAGATCAGGAGGTAGGATGACTTGTAAGGTGTTGAACCAAGAAATTTTGGGAAGTGCCTTGTGCCAATAACCTATTTAGTTCAGGCAAAATTCTTTTAGCAAAAAACTTTGCTCTCGAAAGTGTTTTATTTGAGGCTCTAAGTTTTAAAACTCCTCGTTCTAGAGGAATAAGCATCAAAAAAACTTTGACAAATCAGTCTTACATCTCCCAGTCAACATTTTGACAGCCATCGAGAGATTGAAATTTCTCCTTCGGAAGGCTAAGCTAGGAAGCGATAGCAATTTAGAACGTTCTTGAACTCGCTGGTATAAGGGAATATTTTGGACCCAAAACTCTCAAAAAGAACTTTCGAGTAAAATTATTTTAAACACCTTCAATGGCGGCAATATCACGGACCCTATACGGCGAAGCAACGACAGTGCCGAATTCAACAATAGGGCGTATATACATTTTATAAGCACTACTCGAAACACTGGGGTACGAAGGCCTTGAATGAATTGTACGTTTGGCGAACGGCTTGGAAACAACAGCGTTGTACTGACCAGAGAACTGAAACTTATCATTCAATATGAAGCCCAATTTTTTTGATTTCAGTAACTTTACTCAAAATGCTTTCGTCTATAGGAGGAATCAATTGTTCTGCTTCCCAATACATGACTTTGGTTTTGTTTGGGGCTAAAGGTAGTTCAAATTCCTCAGATAAACGAGAGACCGAGTTGATGCAGGACTGCAATGATTCGACGTCAGATGAACTGCGTAAGATTTTGTATATTTTTATATCGTCTGCTACAATCACACATTTGCAAGCCTCAGCTTCGACGACTCCGGGTAAATCAAAAGTATAGATGAGGAAGAAAATAGGTGACAAAACTCTACCTCGTGGAACACCACTACTCAGACAATCACAGGCTCTCAGCCGGCAGCCACAAAGCCATCGCAAAAACCCACCAAAAGCGCGGTGGCTTTGTGGCTGCCGGCTGAGAGCCTGTGATTGTCTAAGTAGAAATGGAGTAAAGCTTCGAGTAATTATTACCAATACGAACGTGAAACGTTCTCTCACACAGAAAATCTTCAATCCAGGTACAAGCCAAACTGTGTAAACCTAAAAGTTTAAATTTGGATACCAACTTTGGAGTTGGGACCTTGTCAAAAGCTTTGCAAAAGTTCAAAAACATTACATCAGTCTGATAGGTCCTATCAGACGAGAGCGTCCAATCATTCATAGCAGTTAACTCGGCTTTCTCAACTAATTTGCCATGCTGAGAAGGGGAGATAATAGAGTAATTTTCAAGATGCATAACTATGTGATCCTTGAGTATTTTCTCATATGTTTGGGAGAAGATAGACATTATACATACAGGGCGATAATTTTTTGGGCTGTCATAGGAAGGTATCCTAAGAATTGGGGTCACGATAGAATGTTTCTTTCCACCTATCAGGTACCTCACCTCTCATATAAGAAAGATTGGAAGGAACTCGAGCGCAAACCCAATTTCAGGCAACACCTTCTCAATAAAGTACAAAGGTACTCCATCAGGAGTAATCGTAAAGAAGCGGCTTTTAGAAAGAATCTTGACAGTTTTATCCCTGGAGAACCAAAGAGTTTTGTCCATTGTCGGGTACAAGGGTGAAGAACAGGAATTAGCAGGCAGGGCGGTACTGTAGGCTTTTTAAAACTTATCAGATCTGCCTTGTCCGAATTCCGAGACAAGAGATGCTTAGACTGTCTACTAAAGGATAAGAGACTAAATTATTACTGAGGTGTGTCTTTATATAGCGAACAAGTCCATTTGAGTTGTTTGTCAAGGTTAGCTTCTTCTCGAGATAAATGTGATACTTGTTGGACTTTTATTATTTTATTATTGAAACTTCTAAACGCGCGCCAGGCTTCAGCGTCTTAACTAGGAACACCCAGATTCCAAAGACGATCGCGCTTCAACATCATATTAGTCAGATAATTAG